GCTCACTTATGAAATTAAGTTAAAGTATAAAGAGATGTGTTAGAGGTTGAATTGTGCCCCTAACCCCCCCCAGATTTGTATGTTGAAGTCCTAAGCCCCAGGATCTCAAAATGTGACCTTATTTGCAGAGATGATCTTCACAAAGGTAATTAAGTTACAGTGAGATCATTAGTGTGGGCTCTAACCCAATGTGGCTGGTATCATTATAAAAAGGAGGAATTTACTTACAGACTTAGTCATATAGGCAGAATGCCTTGTGAACATAATGATGATCATCTGTAAGACAAAAAGAGAGGAACAGATCCTTCCCTTACAGCCTTAAGAAGGTACCAATCCTGCCAACACCTTGATCTTGGACTTCCAGCCTCTGAACTGTGAGACAATAAATTTCTGTTGTTAAGCCACCTGGTTTGTGGTACTATGATACTGCAGCCCTAGCAAACTAATATAAGGGCATAAAAGTACCAATTAGGTTTTCCTCACCAGCAGAGTCAACCTGTATAACATTACTTATGACCTAATCAAAGGGTTTAGGGAGTTCCACCTGTCTCCACCACCCATTTTACTGAATTCCCCACTTTCTCATTTTCCTCTGGCCTTTGATTTCTATGCCAGCCTTGAATTAGTTGATTCCCTCTATACACCTCCCTCTCCTAGTTATTTAATTTAATCTTTCAAAACAAGTGGATTAATTAATTGCCATGGGTTTGTCAATTAGGCTCAACAAGAAGCCCTTTAAACTTACTCTACACTACAGCATTTTTTTTCTAAAGTTTTTTATTCTCCATGAACTCCTTCAAATAATTGTACCTGACAGGTAAATGATATTTTGATGAAGCTGTTTTGACATGGTGTCATTTTAAAATAGCTAAAAATCAAACCATTAAACTTTTATCACCAACTTTTATTTTTAATTAATTTGTGAAACAAATATCACTCTGTCTCCTCTCCCAGCCCTAGGAGATGGGATTGAAGAAAAGCCAAAGATAGAGTGAGGTTCAGAGGTTTCTGTTGGTACAACCTCTTTGAATAGGCTGGAATTTTGACACAGCTGCTTTAACTACCTACAAGCAAACCTCTGTCAGAATCAAAACAACTGCCTCCGAATGCACAAGCTGCACCTGACTATGATTCATTTATTTATCATTATACATCTGTGTTTCTCAAACAAAAGTATGTAAATCCCTAAGATATGATTTACTATGCCAAGAAATGCTCAAAAGCAAGGCTAGACACGACATAGCTTCTTCGGGTATCTATTTTTTTTTTTTTTTTAAGATTTATTTGACAGAGAGAGAGAGACAGCTAGAGAGGGAACACAAGCAGAGGGAGTGGGAGAGGGAGAAGCAGGCTCCCGGCTGAGCAGGGAGCCTGATGCAGGGCTCGATCCCAGGACCCCAGGATCATGACCCGAGCCGAAGGCAGACCCTTAACGACTGAGCCACCCAGGCACCCCTCAAGTGTCTATTTTAATCAAATTTGAAGATAAAATAACTTTACCTGTTATTGTTTTTATATCAAGACAAACATGGATATGGCATGAAATAAAATGAAAATTGTATAAATTTTTAAAATAAAACATGACAGGGACGCCTGGGTGGCTCAGTTGGTTGAGCGACTGCCTTCGGCTCAGGTCATGATCCTGGAGTTCCGGGATCGAGTCCCGCATCGGGCTCCCTGCTTGGGGGGGAGTCTGCTTCTCCCTCTGACCCTCCCCCCTCTCATGCTCTCTCTCTATCTCATTCTCTCTCAAATAAAAAAAAAAAAATGTTAAAATAAAACATGACATGGGGCACCTGGGTGGTTGCAGTCGGTTAAGTGTTGGACTCTTGGTTTCTGCTCAGGTCATGATCTCTGGGTCATGGGATTGAGCACCCCCCCCACCATCAGGCTCCACACTCAGTGCAGAGTCTGCTTCAGATTCTCTCTCCCTCCCCTTTTGCCCCTCCCCACTTGCTCTCTCTCTCAAATAAATAAAATCTTTAAAAAAATAAAAATAAGTAAAATAAAATAAAATAAAACATGACATGTTGAAGAAAGAGTCTGTACCTAGTCACTCCTCTCTTACTTCCAACCATCCATGTTTCTTCTCCACTTAGTGATCCCTTGACAGAAATGTTTGAAAAGCACAGCTGTAAACAATTCTATAGCTCTCCAACACACACACACCCACACCCACACACACATCTTCACATTTTCCACCTACTTAGCATTTAATCATTTGTATGTATAACTGTGTGTGTGTAATCTGCAATGATTGTTCCTAAATCATTTACTCTTATTTGTTTGCATATTTTTGAGAGTTTCAAGTTATCCCATTGAAATGTTAAAAGAAAAAAAAATGAAAAGGCAACCTACAGAATGGGAGAAGATATTTGCAAATGAAAAATCTGATAAAGGGTTAGTATCTAAAATACATAAAAACTTGTAAAACTCAACAGCCAAAAAAAATGAATAATCCAATTAAAATATGAGCAGAAGACATGAATAGACATTTTTTCAAAGAAGACATCTAGATGACCAACAGACACATGAGAAGATGCTCAACATCAGTTATCATCAAGGAAATACAAATCGAAACTACAATGAGGTATCACCTTGCACCTGTCAGAATGGCTAAAATCAACAACACAAGAAACAACAGGTGCTGGTGAGGATGTGGAGAAAGGGGGACCCTCTTGCACTATTGGTGGGAATGCAAACTGGTCAACCACTCTGGAGAACAGTATGGATGTTCCTCAAAAAGTTAAAAAGGAAGCAAGCTCTTTCATGTCTTATGGCATGAGTCCCATCATAAGGGCTCCACCCTGATGAACTAATCATCTCCCAAAGCCTCCCATCTCCAAATACCATCACATTGGGGATTAGGTTTTCAACATATCAATGTTGGGGGACCATTTTCAGTCAAGAGTGGGAATATATTCAAAAGAATTGAAATATACACTTATATGAAAACTTGTACATACATGTTCAAAGCAGCATTCTTCATAAGAGCCAAAAAGTAGAAACAATCCAAATATTCATCAACTGATGAATAGATTTTTTAAAACGTGGCATATCTATACAGTGAAATACTATTCAGCCATAAATCATGTTCACAGTGAAAGAAGCCACATACAAAAGCTGCATATTTGCACCAGGTTATACAACTATATATAATTCCAATTACATAAACTGTCCAGAAGAGGCAAATCTATAGACACAGATATTATATTAGCAGTTGTCAGGGTCTACAGGAGGAGAGGAAAATGGGGAATGAACATTAATGGACATGGAGTTTACTTGGGGAGTTATGAAAACGTTCTAAAATTACATACGGCTGATAGTTGTACAGCTGTGAATATACTAAAAACTACTGATTTACTTTAAAAGGGTAAGTTTTATGGCATTTGAATTATTTCTCAATTAAATTAATTATTAATTTGTTCTGATTAATTATTCCTCAACTAAAAAAAAGTAGCCATTAAGGAAGTAAATAGACAAGATCCAGACTAGGAGAAACATTATCTGAAAGGACTCTTAGAATATAAAGAGAACCTCTAAAAAAAATTTTTTTAAATAGGTGAAAGGATTGAAGAGATACTTCACAAAGCAAGATAAAGAAATGACCAATAAACAAAAAGAAAGTTCCTCAACATCATTAGTAATCAGAGAAATGCAAATAAAATCACAATGAAATAATATTTCAATCTCACTTGAGACGTTAAAATCAAAAAGACTAATACTAAAAAATGACAAGGATATGGAACTCCATTCATTGCTGGTAAGACTGTAAAATCATACAATCACTTTAGAAAATGGTTTGGCAATTTCTTATAAAATCCTATGATGGAGGGATCCCATTCTTAGGTATTTATCCAAGAGATATAAAAACATACACTACAAAATGACTTTTACAAGAATGTCTTAGCACTCCTATTTGTAATAGCCAAAAATTGGGAACAATGCAAATGTTCATCATCAAAAGGACAGTGGTATATATATTCATACAATGGAATACTACTGAGCAATTAAAAGGACTGAATGACTCAAACACACAATAATTTGGATGAATCTTAAAAACATGCTGTGTCAAAGAAGCAAAACCCAAAAAAGTACATACTGTATGATTCAATTTATATGAAGTCCAAGAGCATGCAAAACTAATCTCTGCTGTTTCTGGTGTCTGGAGGAGAGTGGTGGTAGAAGAATGACTAGAAGGGTCACATGGGAGCTTTCTAGGTGATAGAAATGTTCTACATATTGATTTGGGTGGTGATTGCACAGTTTTGTACAATAGTCAAAACCTTTTAAACCTCTGCTTTAAAAATGAAATAAAAATAGAAAAGATCTGTAAATAATAAATCAATTTAGAAATTACTCAGACTCCATCAAATATCCAAAAATTTAGATTTAGATTAAATTTATGAGCAAAGGATTGGGTATTCTTTTTTTCTGGCCTACTTTTTGGTCTTTTCTTAACATTGATAACTATGTTTGTTGGATATGCATTTGTGTCTATATTTCCCCAAATTCAAACACTCATATTTAAACTAGATTAAATGACCTCATGCATGCATGCACACCACACTTAGAAATACCCCTTTCGGCAGCATTATGAAGTGTTTTTTGACATCCTTTCTTAATTAAAAGAAAACATATGTCTTCAATTACTAGTACTATAGGCTTTCAAAATTGTGGGAGTAATCCAAACTACTTCCTTCAAAGACAACTGACTTAAACATACTCACAAAGGAAGCATAGATTAGGATCATGATTTTTATCTTTTAAGAGACTAGAAGAACAGAAGGGGTTACAATCTTGTCATTTTATGCAACTCTTCTGTTCCAATATATCAAAAACTTGATAAACCAAGGTCATGAAGGACAGCTGAAAAGGAATCAAAGTAAACAATGTACTTCGTTGCCAACAGAGTCTGCCAATATGAGATTAGAACTCTCTATCCTAGTAAGAAAATGTCTTTGGAAAGTTCCTTACAACATTTTATGACTCACAGATATTCCCAGAGGTTCCTGTTTCCATTCTGCTGTAGACAGTGTTTGAAGACGTGCAGTTCTTGTCAACTGTTGTTCTTAGGCAACTTGGCTGAGAGGTCTGTTTAAAAAACATTTGTTGGAAAGATAATATGTTTGGATGTTTTAATTTTCTTAACCAAAATTCCAGATTTTAAATCTAGTTTAACTCTTAATTCAACATTGACTTAAAGAATAGCCTAAGAAGAATTACTATGTTAGTTACATAATATGTACTATGAACTGAGCAATTTTCCCACTTGAAAACTCCCAAACCAGGGGGTACGTATTCTTGGCATAGTCTGCTTCGCATATCTTTCCAACTGCCTCCAGATCCCTGGCTCTGTATTCAATAGTTCTGGCTCTGATCTTGGCCACCCAGCTCAGTACCTCACCTTGGCTACTACTTTGACCAACACTGCCAAAACACCTTCCAGCCCACCAGGACTTGATTCCTGGCTATCCTCCACTTTTGTCTAATCCCAGTTCTCTCTTTCTGTTCTAAGTATTGAATATCACTCCTGAGGTATATTTTCTCCCCATACTCATCTAGCTCTATTCCACTCTACTTGCAGATAGACCCCCAAGGCCTAGTCTCTGCTCCTAGCCAGTTCCTCAACTCTTTCCTTTCTCTACTCCCTAAAGTCCTGAATAATAAGCCACCTGGTTTTTAACAGTTCCCATCATCTACATATGATCTTATTTGTTTTCTTGACAATAACTATAAAGATACAGACATGAGAGAAAAAAATATTATAAAATATTTTAGCATTATCCCAATAAAAGTTATTCCTTCATTTAATAGAAATGTAAATGGAAGGAGACCTGATCTCTCTTGACTCCTTAAATGATTCATCACTGCTCTAGTCCCTAGCCCAATCCTCCATCTCTCTCTTACTCTTGGTATTTCCCTCACATGTGCTTTCTTTGACAAAGCAGTTCCTCTCCCAGATTCCACACCCAACTCTCCCTTGATTCTGTCATTGCTCAGACTCTCCACAGATGCAGTAACTGGATCCAGCCCAGACACATGTTTAGTTTGACTTACACAGCATTTAAAAAATTTTTCAGGGCGCCTGGGTGGCTCAGTTGGTTAAGCGACTGCCTTCAGCTCAGGTCATGATCCCAGGGTCCTGGGATCGAGTCCCGCATCAGGCTCCCTGCTCTGCGGGGAGCCTGCTTCTCCCTCTCCCACTCCCCCTGCTTGTGTTCCCCCTCTCGCTGTGTCTCTCTCTGTCAAATAAATAAATAAAATCTTTTAAAAAAAATTTTTTTTTCAGTTAGTTGACAATATTTAAAAATTGGAAGAATAAGCCTAAAAGTAGAGATTTCCAAAGAAAATCAAAACAGGATATTGAGTAGATCTTTGCACTCCCATGTTCACTGCACCATTATTTATAATAGCCAAGATATGGAAACAACTAAGTGCCCATCAACAGATGAGTGGATAAAGTAGATGTGAGATGTATACACACACACACACACACACACACCAGAATGGAATATTATTCAGCTGTGTGAGAAAGAACGTAGTCCTGTCATTTATGACAACACAGATAGACTTTGAGGACATTATGCTAGGTGAAAGAAGCCAGACAGAGAAAGACAAATACTGCATGATATCACTTATATGTGAAATCTAAAATGGGGAAAATGTCAAATTCATAGAAACAGAGAGTAGAAAAGTGGTTGCCAGGGAAAACATGGTGATTATAGTTGATATACATTGATAACACTTGTACAATTGAAATTTGCTAATAGAGTTGAACTTAAATGTTCTCACCAAAAAAGAAAAAGAAAGATAAATACATGGAGCAATGGATGTGTTAATTAGCTAGAAGGGGAGGCAGAAATCCTTTCACAATATATATGTATATCAACTCACCACAATGTACGCTTTAAGTATCTTACAATTTTACCCCAACAAAGCTGAAATTTTTAAAAATTAGGTGTCGTTTGCTCAAGTTCATTAGTCAGTAAACTACAGTTTCAAATCTGTGCCCATAAATAAGGTTTCATTAGAACACAAGCATGTTCATTTGTTTATGTCATATCTATGGCTACTTCTATGCTACAACAGCAGCGTTGAGCACTGTGACAGAGACCATATGGCCAAAAATATTTCAAATATTACCAAAGCCAAAATACTTACAGTCTGGCCCTTTACAGAAAATGTTTGCCAAACTCTGTTGAAGATGGTTCTCAATCAACACGGGATGCCCTGCCCCCAGAGATTCTAATATGATTAGTCTGCAATGGATGCTGGTGTCCAATTCCCAGAGATTCTGATGTTATCGTGCTGCACTAAGTGCTGACGTTGGTATTTTCAAACTCCCAGACAATTCTGTTTTGCATGTAGGCTTGTGAACCCCTCAATTAGGTAATCTAGATGCCTTCAACAGTCTATTATTCTTGTCTCTTTCTCTGGGAAATATATATTTCCCTTGTTTAACTAGGAAAAGACTATCTTCTACCCACCTTCACAAGTGTTCTGAGCAATGCAAAAGAGGCCTTTGTATCATCAGAAATCTAGATCATAGCTTAGTGCTTTTTTAAAAAATAGGTAACATTATCCTCAGTTTGAAAGTACAGAAATTGAAACTCAAACATGTTTAGTGCCTTTCCTAACTTCTTTTCTTTCTTTCTTTTTCTTTCTTTCTTTTTTTTTTTCTTTCTTTTTTTTTTTTTTTGTAATCTCTACACTCAACATGGAGCTGGAACTCATGACCCCGAGATCAAGAGTTACATACTCCTCAGACTGAGCAAGCCAGGCACCCCATAGTGCTTTATAAAAATAGATTTTGGGGGCGCCTGGGTGGTTCAGTTCGTTAAGCATCAGACTCTTGATCTCAGCTCAGGCCTTGATCTCAGGGTTGTGCATTCAAGCCCCACGTTGGGCTCCACACTCAGTGTGGAGCCTACTTAAAAAAAAAAAAAAACGGATTTGGGCTCCAACACAGATGTATCAAATAAAAGTCTCCAAGAGGCAACAATTTTGAAAAGCTCCCCAGATGATTCTGATAAGTAACTAGATTTGAGAGCAACTACCTAGCTATGACACAGTCATTCACACAGTTGCATTCACTGGAAGCTCAACTAGGGCTGAAATGTCCATGATAGCCTCTTATCCTTCAGGGTATCTCTCTACATGGCCTCTGATCATTCAGATGTTTAACTTGAACATCTTGAAAGCATGGCAATTAGGATGCAAAGGGTAAAGACAAGAAAGCTCCAAGCCCCTTTAAGCCTGGACTAAGAAATCTCAGAATGGTACTTCTGCTGCACACTGTTGGTTAAAGCAAGTCAAAAGTACAGCCCATATTCAAGAAGAGGGGAAAGAGACTCCACCTCTTTCTGTGAGAAGCAGCATGCATGTATAGGAAGGTGAGATATTGATGGCACTCATCTTTGGAGACTAGCAAAAAGAATCTAGTAAGGAGCAAAGCAAAACAATGGTAAGAGTCAGGCATTAGGATTGTGATATGAATAAAAGAAAGGTATGAACAAGAAAAGAAGTATGAACAATGAAGTGTCAGGGAGGAATGTTCCAAAAAAATATTTTAACTAAGACAGTTGTTTCAAATAAGATATTTAAACTGAGATATTTGAAATAAGGTTGTTGAGTTTTTTTTAAATTAGACATTAGAACTGAGTTAGGCATGAACTGTATGAAGAAACTGAACAAGAACTGAAGCATTCCAAATAGGGAGAAGATTGTGGAATACAAAGATATGGAACATCATGAGAGCAAAAGCTGCAAGTACCTTGGTATGGGTGGAACAAGGATATTTGTGGATGGAGCGACTTTCCAGCAAACAGCTGTACATTAAGATCTGGAGCTTAAGAAAGAGGTCTAGGCTAGAGATATGGATTTGGGAATCTTCAGAACATACATGATGGTAGAAGGTCAGAAGGTGAGCCAGAAGAGGGTCATATGGGACAAAAAATATAGTGAGAAGGGCACAAAACCAGGAACAGAGATCGTGGAGGTCACTGATATCTGAGATCCTACATAGGAGATGTGAGAAATAGCAATAGGAAAAGTAGAAGGCTAACTTATTAGAAAAATATCTAAAAAGAAAGGGGGAGTTTTCAGGAAGGAGGAACTGGTCAATAATGCCAATTGCCAGGCGCCTGGGTGGCTCAGTTGGTTAAGCAACTGCCTTCGGCTCAGGTCATGATCCTGGAGTCCCTGGATCGAGTCCCGCATCGGGCTCCCTGCTCGGCAGGGAGTCTGCTTCTCCCTCTGACCCTCCCGACCCTCCCCCCTCTCATGCTCTCTCTCTCTCAGTCTCTCTCTCAAATAAATAAAATCTTTAAAAAATAATAATAATAATAATGCCAATTGCCACAGAAAGTGGGTCAAGACAAAAGCAGAAAAGTGTCTATTGGATTTGGTGATAGGCATTGGTGAATTCAAGGATTGTTTCAATAGAAAAGGAGCAGAAACTAGATTGTAGGGGGTTTAACAGAAAAGAATTGAGAAAGTATGAGAAGTTAATGTAGTGCAATTGATGCAAGCAGTGCTGTGAACAGAAAGAGGGGATGCTGAAAGATCTAAAACAGTCAAAATGACACTAATACACTGACACTTGTACATTAGTACATATTAGTAAGTGTTAGTTGACTGAACGTGAATGAATGAATAAATACATAGTATAAAGAAGTAACTGACTTTCACAGAAAGGCAACAACTTCTTTAACATTATCCCTTCCAAATTAAAGTTCTCAGCATGGTACACTAATATAACTATGATTAATTCCAAAGAAACCCTGTATTAATTCCTTTATTTATGTTCAGTTCTTACAAAATGCTAACAAATCCTTGCACTGGATATGTGTAAAATCATGAACAACTAAAAGCAGCTTGAGGCAAAAGAAAGAAAATTGGATTGAGTTCTGCTCCAGGTTTCTAACAACTCACTTGTATGTCTTTAAGTTTGCCCCTTCATCTCTTCAGGCTTTGGTTTGCTTTCCATATAATGAAGTGTGAATTAGATCAGGGATAGAGAATAGGTATCAAGTGATTTTAGTAATTGTCAAACCTATCCAGAATCCCATCAGCAAGGATTAGGTGTTTTC